CAGACTACACTAAAATAATTAATCTAAATTAAATTATAGAAGAAAAAAATAGATTATATCAACTTAAACTCAAAATTATTATCAAATTTATCCCAATTAAATTCAAGTAACCACAAAATAAATTAAAATTAATTAAACTGAAAATGCATCTAAAAATATCTATTCGTTTATAAAATCATGTCAAACCCTAATTAGTAACCATTGTAATTAGGGTTTTAAAATTTTGTTGGTAAGATTTTGAGATATACCTACAAACTTCAATCTTTTGGATATAAACTACAAATCTAATTTTCAATTCAGAGTGTAATAACACTTAAAACTCTTTGTCCTTCTTGAAGTACGTGTTCAACGATCAAATCAAGGTATTGTGTCAGTAATTCAACATATGGTACCAACTTATACATATTTATTAGATGATAATTATGTGTTTTTAAATATATGGTAAACCACATTGAAAAAAATTATGATAGCCTTAAAACTACTTTCCGCTTCAGGAATGGTGAAAACCCTAGGGCAGTGATTTTTGAGTGTAATCGTCAAGTCAAACGATGTTTAATACTTTAGATATTATTTTTAAAAATTATTATATATTAACCTTTATCAAAAAAAATTTATCTCTTCTATATACATTCCTTCCAACCAAGTGAAAGGTATATTTATTGCATATATATAAATTACACTAATAGATATTATATTTACCAACAAAATTAGATATCAATAATAATAAATCGTAAAATTTGTTAAATAAAACTTCACTTTTGACAAATTTGACAATCACATTTCTTTAATATCTGATTTTTTGAACTTTATTTTTACTTTACCTAATAATTTTTTATTGTTAATTAAATAAAGTATTTTTCCTCTACCAACACTGATTGGTGCAATTGGTACGAATACTGACCATGATTATCTTAAAAAATATCTCTTTCAAAAAAACTAACTAAAATAACCATTCTAAACTAAATAAAATTAAAAAAAATTATTAAATCAACTTAAATTCAGTATTATTATCATATCCATCCCAATTACAATATCCTTTTATGAAATCATATCACGGCCTCCTTCCCGGTGACTACGGCAACTTGAAAAGTTGCAAAATCAGAATAATCATTAATGGGCAAAAAAGATTAAGGTAGTCCTTATGAAAGTGAATTGTTAAGGGTTATTGTTTATTTATTGACCAGGTTTTGTGTGTAAAGCTCCATGATCACGATCTCCTTTACATGTGGAGATACTATTTCTCTACTTTTCTCTAGCATTATCAAACCACGTTAGTAATTTGAACTAATGATAAGTGTTAGGCAAAAGAGACAGAAAAAGAGGTGAATGATCAAAGAACATTTGATCAACCATTACCACGGGATACAAATACAAGTCAACGTATGCAAGGATAAAATCGTACTTTGGTAGTGATCATAATTCATAAGTAACCGGTTTTGCTTCCCTTTTGCTTGCTTTTTGGGGCAAGTTGCTCGACTCATCGTTTCCTGTGGTTATTTCAATGACTCGTGATGGCTTACCGTTTATATCCGGTCATAATCTTTTACTAACCAACTAAATCATGTCACGAACTAGATTCTCTTTTCCCACATTCTATTAACAAAGAAAAAAATGCAAGTGATAATAAGTTAGAGTCATAAACCTACAACAAGGTCACCACAATATTGCAATGTGGGAGAGAATTTCAATTAATAGTGTGCTGCCAGCTATGAATTTGAAGGATGAAAGCTCTACCTCAAAGACCAAATTTGTCAACATTTCTTTCAAGATCTTTTTTTCCTCCCATGTTTTCACATCCACTTACACTGACTTTTTAACAATAATTTGGAAATAAGAGATTTACAAAATAAACATTCACAAGAGATATTGAATATTTTTATTGTTTATTTGGAGAGAATAATTTTGGAAGGATAAATTGTAAAAAAATATTGTGAAACTCACCTTACATTACATTGAACCATAATTTTGGATAGAAAGTATATATGGAGTTGTTTAAAAATTTAAATTTTAATATTTAATAGTTAATATTTTAAAAGAAAAAAATACTGTTTTGTTAAAAATATTTTTTAATTAAACAATTATCGTGTAACTTATTTATTTATTCATTTTACTTTTTTTTTTCACTTATCTAAAAAAAATGCTCAATTGTTTTTTTATTTCAACTTTATCTGAATATCACTTTTTTTTTCTCTTTTTTTTTCTTTAATTCATTCCTAATCTAAACAAAACATTATAATCATATAATTACATTTTATGAAGTTCACATTGGACATGACATAGTCATTTAAAAGAAAATAAAAATAATAATCATTACAATCGACTCAATAATAAATATAATCTTAAATTCAAACTTTAGTAATGACATTATACTTTTTATAAATAAATAAAAAATTATAGTGACATCTCTTAATTTTTTTTAGATTAGTAACGATCTATAAATAAATATAAGTCAAACAAATCACATTTTTATTTAGTTTGGTTCTTTTTCAAATTTGAAACTGGACTATATTGTAAGAATACTAAATTTGTTAGTTTTCTCATTCTACTTTCAAATAAATAATAGATTATATTGAAATGTGATTTGTAAATTTTAGTAAGTTGTGATTGATAGTGACATTTTTTTATAGTAACGATCGTAAGCAGGGTTTTAACTTTTTTTTATAGGATCTCAAGGTATTCTTACAAATTTCAGTCTTTTTGGATTATCTATAAAACAAATTTTCAATTCAAAATTTAATAAACTAAAAGCTTTTTGTCTCCCCCTGAAAGGTGTGTTTAGCGAGAATAAAATCAAGGTATTATACCACTAATTCAGTCATTATCAACTTTAACATATTTATCAGATGATTCATCAGGTGTGTTTTCAGATTTGTGATAGACCACATTGAAAAAATCAGATAGCCTTAAAAACTACTTTTAGCTTCTGGTATGGCGAAATATCTTAGCACATGGTGGTTTTTTTTTCCTATCTGTCAAGTCAAATGACATTTAATACTTTGAATTTTTTGAAAAATATTATATATTTGAATTTTTAATTGAATAATCGTTGTCAATTATTATATGTACACATTTTCTTAATACTTGATTATTTTTAACTTATTTTTTATTCTAACTTTTTTTTAATTAAAAGTTAAAATATTTTTTTAATATTCTTTTTTTAGCTTATAATTTTAGTGCTCTTATTTAAAAAAAATCGGTCTTCTATTTTTAAAAATATAAATTTTGCCATATTGTCATATCGAAATTATAGATTTTTTTTATTATTTATCTTTTTAACTGTTTTCTATTTTTATTTGTCCTTTTTAATATATTCTTGATCTAAACAATAATATTATAATTATATAATTACAATTCATGAAATTCAAAATGTGCACAACATACTTCTTTAAAATAAGATAGAGAAAAAGTAAATTGCACCAATATTTTTTAAAATTTTCATGAAATTATGTATAATTTTTATTTTTTTTAAAATATTTACTATATAATGACTCATCGTGATTTCTGTACTTAAGGGTTCACAATTAACAATAAAAATAACAACTAAATTCCTATAATTATTATTCTAAACATATTTGGAAAATATACGGTATAACATATATTTGTAAGAGTTTTCAACAAAATTTAAGGAAATAGAATTCTATACGAGGATATAAATATACATAGTAACCTAGATAATAAATAATAATCCTAATAGTCGGTCAAACGTACTAAACACAACCAAAAATAGTTACACAAAGGTAACTCCAAAACCATCACCTCTACCAATAAACATGATCTCCAAAAGTCTCTAACAATAATTCATTTTTGTCCTACTCATATATCAAGTATGATTAGCATAGTCTAACTACATGAAAATATATAAGGATAAGCCAGGGTTTAAAGAATCAGCATAAACAATAACATCAATATAGAAGTTAAAATAATTATACTATCAACATAAACAACCTAACTTACTACAACATGGTATCAACTTAAAATTTCAACACAATATAACATGTTTTTACTTGAACAACACAACATTAACACCTCAATTTGCAACACCACAACACATCTTATCATAAGTCAACATTATATGAACAACACAACAACTATATGTGTCATGCATTTCAATTAAGAGATTTCCAACAATACAAGTGAATCATTTTATTAACTTCACCCTATTGAATCAATAACTTAATCTTTTCAATCTAATTAGATTAACAACTAATTGGGATATTAATCCCTAATAATATAATTTTCTCGGATGTTTCCATTTAAATTAAGAAGTCTAGTATTTATGTTAAGGTAAAATTACTTAGTGTGAGTCTATCATGACATTAACTGACTTAATCTTAACTAATAATACTTAGTCATTGTTAAGACTTAATTAAGTCGTATATGAGATTAACTTACACTTAATAAAATATTTTAATAAAATCACCAACATTTAATAAAAAAAAATGTACAGCATTACATACAATTATTTACTCTATAATAACATAATATTGAGTTTGTTTTTTTTAAAAAGAAGATTTTTACTATGATGAATGCTAGTGTAAATTTTGTAAATAATTAAGAAGTTAGTATAAAGAAAAAATAATAATAAGAAGAAAAAGAAGTAGCGCTTCCGAGATAACAAAACTTTAATGTAATTTTGATTTGATGAGAAGAAAATAAAACATGTAACGGTGTATTTTTGTTATTTTGCTAAAAAATATAGAAGGAAATTAAAAACGAAAGTTGACTTTGGAGAGATTAAATTAAAAAAAATTCCTTCATCTTTGTATTTAAATTTAAAATTTATGTTTGTCTTCTTACTTTCTTTACATACAGGCTGTAATGGATTGTTATTGTAATTTATTAAAAAACTATAGATGTATACATTTAATAGAGAAAAGAAAAGAATAGAAATATAATAAATGATGTATTAATAAAAATAAAAAAGGTAAAAGATGTGTGATGTGGGTTGATAAATCTAAAATCCCTAGTTTGTTCGTGACACTCACTGGTCCATTGCCGTTTTCTCCAACCCTCTATATATTTCTCCTTCTTTTATTTCAAGGGCAGAGAGAGAGAGAGAGAGAGAGAGAGAGATTACGCTCCTACCTCTCAGCGGGTGGGAGAAGAAGAAAATAAAAAAGGGCAGAAGGAGAGGTTGAATCCTCTGCCACAACACCATCAATGGCCGTCACCACTCCCTCTCCCTGTCCGAATGCCACAGAAAAGAAACACTGGTGGCTCACCAACCGAAAGGTAAGCTTTCACTTCCATTTTAAGCCATATCCATCCAAACGCACCGTTTTCTCCTACCACTAATGTATGTAATGTATGTGTGGTTGCAGATCGTTGAGAAATACATGAAAGACGCTCGGAGTCTGATAGCGACTCAGGAACAGAGCGAGATCGCTTCGGCGCTGAACCTTCTAGACGCGGCTCTCGCGATCTATCCACGCCTAGACCAAGCGCTTGAGCTCAGAGCCAGGTCTCTGCTCTTTCTTCGCAGGTTCAAAGACGTTGCGGACATGCTTCACGACTACATTCCCAGCCTTAGAATCGCTAACGATGACTCCGCCTCTCTCTCTTCCGATATGTCGTCGCAGCAG